AGTCCCACATGGCCGGGGCTGCACTGTGCTGCTGGGGGGCTCTGCGGTCCGTTGTGGGCTACGAGCACTGGGATGGCCACTGACGCTCCTGCGGCTGCTGTGGGGTGGGAGGGTGTTCTGTGGGGAGGGGGGGACGGCAGGGGACCCATTCCTTTGTAGCAATCCCCCCCACTCCTATGCACATAATCCCTGACACCCCCACAGTCCCTCTATCCCCACATCCCCAGTCTGAACATGCCCTAGGTGTCATTAGAGATAGCAGTATCTTTCCAGCCTTATGGCTTCTTCCCCCTACTACTAGGGGTTTCACTTCATTAGCCCCTAAGCCTTGTGAGGCAGGCGGGTATCTTTCTTATGCTGGATTTTTGAGAAGCCACCAAAATAGATGGCTATCATGTGAAGCAAATGCTCTGAGAACGCCTGCATGATCAGGAAAGCCTAGTTTCTCTTTCTTGATTGAGACGAGTTGTGGGGATACATGGAAATAGCACACGAGACATTGAGGTCTGTGAACACTTGCAGGTAAAGGTTGGATCAATTGAGTAATCCACACAATTTGCACGTCCTGCCATGCCACATGTGGGATTACATGGTAGATCCAACTGCCACACACTACCAGGACAGAGAGTCCCTGCAACTGATAGAGCTCCCAGTCCAGCTGCATTTCATGAGCAGCTGAGACTGTGAGTCCTGCAACTCACATGAGGTGCAGCTGAGGCCAAGAGCCCATCAGGTTCAGGAGTCTCTCAGTACTGGATGCATGTGACGTTCAGCCAGTATTGGGAATCCCGTGTGGACTGGCGTTTTAATGCATGACCAAGTCATGGGGATCACAGCAGCCATGATCCCCAAGGCTTGGGGCTGTCATGCTGGGCACAGTGCACCCCTGATGCTGGGAGCCTTGTCAGCTGATTGGGACTCTTAGCTGCAGGGGAGACCCTGCTACATGTGCAAATTAAAGCTGGATAGCAACCAGGTATAGAGTTAATACACATTTTCAAGGTCTAACTCTATAGCTGCTTGGTGCTTTTTATTGTGCGCTAGCTACTTTGCACAGGTAGCTGGTCTTAATGTAAGTGCGCTATTAACCAGTTAATCGTGAGATACCTGCAACATGTAGATGGGGACTGAGGAAAACATAATGTACAAGAGGGAAGTAGGTAGTGAGCTTAGGTGTTTCCAGAGTTAGGCAGCAATTGAACAAGATTTCTCCCCCTTCCAATTTTGAATTTAAGCATCTTATGGGATCTTATTTCACTGGAGAATTCCTTCAAGAAGGATTAAGAAATAGTCCACTAAAGCCACTCTGTTTCAGCATGAGTGTACCCACACAGAGATGTTATAAGCTTAACAAATACATTTTACCATCCTAGTTCTATTTTCTTTATCTTAACTTTCCTGAGTGTTTCTGTGTACACAAGCCCTTACTTAACTGGAAGAAGCATTCTCTTCTTCATGTGTCTTATACTATCTTTATACAAAGCAACAGACTAAGACTTACTCAGCTGGGAACTATTTTTACTTTCCTTAAGTATGGAATTAATGTCTCTTTAATAGCTCTCTTCTTTTTGCACTTACTTTTTTTGGAGAGAGAAATGTTACCCAACACTCTCTCAAGTGTTCTAACTGAGCAAACTAAATTTGACTCCCCTGTGCTTTTTTTAAAAAATGGTGAAGATTAACTATAAACTATACACTTTGGTTTGAGAAAAATCTTGTACATATGACCCACACAGCTGTTTTTCTCATAGGTGAAGTGAATAATAGTCTTTTAATAAATTAAATGAATTGGTATAGTAGATTGTTAAGGTGCCCAAACACTTGTCATTATAGGGCTTTTCTTTCAATTTCTTGTAACTACCACATTTTAATCATTCAGGTTGACATGTCCATATGCCTCTACATTTTTCCTTCAAAGTTACATCCAAAATTGTTCTGCATTTTCCAAAATCAGTGTTAGCAAGAATACATTCTGACTTCCTTTTCTCAGTAGTCTTGGAATCCTCCATGGTTTGGACCTAAAACCTTGAAATTTGGCAAAGATGAAGTTAAAGAGCTTTTTGCTGTTCCCAGGGAAATCCACATAGATTTCGTCAAGCCATGGGAAATCACAGTTTACACAAATGCTGTAAAAAGTAGTACTGCTCTTGTTCCTGAAGTTTCTGAATATGTTGTGTATTGGATGAGTCAGGAATCCTGTCAAAGAGGTGGTCTTAAAATTAAAGGCTTCTTCATGATACATACACATCAGGGTGCTGAATTAAAACTTCATAGGCAGCCTTATTCTTGGAATTCCTTAGCTTCTGAGTTTTTTACTTTGCAAAGTTAATTTAGAAATTTTTCCACCAGAAACTTTTAACAGAAGCAGGCAGCCAACAATTTTCCCAACTTGCCGCAGTCTCATAGTTCATTGGTGGGCTGTGCTACTAGGCCAGGCATTCCAGCCCCCCAGCTCCTAATCCACTACTTCCCTGGTGGTAGTGTTTAAAAATAGGTGTTTCAATTTGATTTCAATGTATTGTAGAAATTACCCTGAATTATACATTTCATTTCTGGTTTGGTGCCTTGGGTGAGCTGCAGTGTTCAGATCAAGATTTCTGATTTCTAAATCCTAAATATATGTAGTATGACATACAGTAATGACATAAAAGGGATGTTAAGACTAAATAATGAACCACTCAGATGCCAGGTAGTGTCAGCTTTAAGGCTACCTGCGCAGCCTAAATTCAGCAACCTGATGATATCATCTTAAATGACATGACTGTATGACATTTTAGAGTCAGGATCCCTGTCTCAACCATATTGGGGTTGCTCAGGTAAACTTAACCCAGGCATTTTCTAATTTCTGAGTGTTTGACTTCATAACTTTCTCTACCAGTGTCACCTATAACAATCCAGAACAGTCACTAATGAGAACAGAATGCTGCTATTACATTTACATATATGGTAGGACTTTTATTTTTTAATCCTGATTGACCTAAAGAAGTTTATAAATTAAGCTGAGCAATAGGATGCACAAGAAAGAAGGAAGAGACATTTCAGCTGAGTTAACTAAATCTACTTCTACAAAAATGCCACAGGGAATTTTAAAAGTGAGAAAGAAAGAACAAAGGTTGTTAGAGTGCTTGGCATTGCTCAAAACAAGGGTGATAGCAGGAGCCATTAGCCTCAGCCTGTACAAAGCTTCCAGGGACCTCCTTTTCTGGCTGTTCCTTGCCTCTTCTGCTTCCCACTACCTGAATAAGATGAGGCAGGGTTCTTGAAGACTAGACCTCTTGTCCATTCCCAGAAAGCCATCTCCCCATTGTACTGAATGAGACAGTGAAAAAATAGAGTATGTTAACATTACAAATGTTGTCAAAATGCAGAAACACAAGGTACCTGAATTAATGTGACACAGACAACTGTATTTCTGGCATTCCCTAACTTTGGAATACTACCCTGTACAATATGAACATTACCCTATTGTAGTTTTTTGTAGATTTTGTATATAACAAAACACTGCTTTTGTCTCCCAGTAGCAAAACTGCATTGCTATGCACAGCTAGACAGAACATGCTTATAGGACCTGTTTCCCTTTCCCCATCCCACCAAGCCATCTTTTCCTCTCTGTTGTCTATACTGTATTAGCAGTGGGTCTTGGGCATGTCCTGCACACCCAATCTGCCAACACACTCCAGACTAGCAATTTGGCCTTGAGGCTATTCCAGACTTGCCCCAGTGCCTGCTCTGAAGCCCTTGGTTTCCAACAGGTCGGAGAGCAGGCACTGAACATGAGTCTGGAGGATGCTCACAGATGAACTTCTAGCTTTGGAGCACATCAGCAAAATCAGATGAGTAGAACATGAATGGGACATGACAGCCCTATCCTTCCAGGGATCTACCACTGACATGGTATAGATGAGGTCTGGCAAAGGATTCAAGCTTGGTAAAGGGGGTGAGAATGCTCTAGTAATGTACACTTGCTAACAGCAATAAATGTGAAACATATTGATCTATGACACTGAGCTACAAAACCTGAGACCTTCTATGTGGTAGGTCCTCTGGGATACCATCCCAAATTGAGTGTTGACAGATTCCTGAAAAAAGTGTTGATTTATGAAAAAGTCTTGTTTATATTTATTCAGTTGAAGCCTCAGTGGTCTTTGGTGGCCTGACTTCCATACTGTGATTCAGCACACAGAAATGCCCAGTCATCAGACCCTTGGAAAGTGAACACTTCAATTATGGCAACACCTGTCCTTCTCAGATAAGCTTGTCTCTGAAAGCCATAGCTCTGACCATGTCCATATTAAGTAGTGGACAACACGAGGATCTGACATTAGCATATTCTGAAGCAACTATGCTAGCAACACACAGGATAGGACTCTCAGACCAAACCAGGGGACTCTGTCAGCCTATTGCTAGTCAGAGAAAAATATTTTATGCTTATGCCAACCTGGTGTCTGCTTATCCACATTCCAGGCTGTGCGCCCAGCTGCATTAAACTACTTTTATCTTCATGAAGGAGCCAACTGATCTACCCTCCATGTGTTTACCTTGTGGTCCACGGAAGCAAAAGTAGTTTTCATATGCACCAAAGCCCTTTTATACCATTCCAAACATTCAACAGGATCTTACATTATACTTTCATTCACTTTTAAGGTCCCTTTACACATTATTCAGCAAGTCTTTCACAGTTCATTTGGCTCTTTGATGCCAAAAGCATGAAATAGAGTGGTGCTCTAGGGAAATGCATTGAAAAGGCAGCTTGAAGGAAAAATTGTCTCCCACGTATGTGTTTGACGTGCCTTCTAGCCAAGGAAACACATGAACTCTGCTGTTACCATGCTGCTCCGCATTGTTTACATATTCTTTTTGACATAAGCTGTGGCTGCACAACCTAGCTCAGATAACAACTGCACAACAGTGTGGTGTGTTATATAGATGTGCTAGCTTGGAACTCAGAAGCAGCATAGCTGTGGTAGTAGAGTGCTTCCCCAGGGTTAATAAACCCCTGTTTGTCAGCTCTTCTCAGCAGGGCTAATTAGCTAGGACAAAGCTCTCTGTACTCTTTCTGGTACCTAAGCTAGGTCATTCAGAGCTTATTCATGTATAACTTCACGTCCCACAATGTACTGTGTAGACATGCCCATAGATTACAAGGAATGTCATCAGATATAACACACTTTGTTCATCAACCAGGGTGGATAACGATTCAGAAACCTGTCATTTTTAGAATTATACAGACTTTCTTTAATAAGCTAGCTGCATAGTTGTCTGAAATGTTTCTCAGCTTCCTTGTTCTTGATGTTTTTTATATGGAATCAATAGGCAAGAATATGTAATCTTGTTAGTGTTTCATCCTCCTTACCCCAGCAAAAATACTAATATCCTAAGCTTTAGAGGGTGTGGAGGTCAGCATTATTCAGCATTTTAAAATTATAAATCTGAATCCCCAGTCCTTCCACACTGTTCCTAGCCTATTCATTTTAACATAAATTAAGTGTCCAAATTATTTTAGGTGGCTTTGAAATACATTCAGCCTAAACTTCTTCCCACTGAACAACTAAATAATATAAAAAACTCCTTGCTGCTGATCCTGAAAAAATGAAATTATGCACCATTTGCAATTAAACTTTTATTTAATAAAATGTGAACCAATTCATGATTTAATTGAGGAAATATTTAACCAATAAAAATATTAGTTATTTGCACCTTCGCTTAGCACCTCTGATGTAAATTTGTCAAAAGATTTAGGAGTATGGCAGTGCAGAAGTGTTACTGTATTTCTGACAACTGCCAGTCATTCACTTGTCATAACTGTGTTTCAGTTTTTGCCAGAAAATTGAAGGGCGGGGAGTGGGGAGAGGAGGGGAAGTAATGTCTTTCCCTTTTTTTATGTAGCTACAAAGCACTATTTAAATTGGTCTCTGGTGGTGATAGTGGGTTTTTTCTCCCCATCTCATTTTTTTGGAAGTGGGGTACGGTGACCTCCAAAAACATAAGTTAGCAGCTGAAGTCTGCCTGCTAAAGGTAGGACGTAGCTGGCTGTGTTTTAAACAGCTGTTCTTCCTGATGTTATGCTCTTATTAAAATAGATGCATCACTGCTAATCCATCTTGTGGCTGAAGTCACTTCCAAAAATAAAAATAGCTTTGGAGGCAATGTGTGAGCCATTTTTTGTTAAGAATAGAAAGTGTCAAGGGTGGAAAATAATTATCCATGTTGGAATATGAGAGGAGAGTGCTTATGTAATGGGACAAAAACAGGTCCTGCAAGTTAGGTTGGAACTGCTGAATAATCAGTTACAAAGCAGAAATACAGGCCAAATTTTTTTCATAAATATAGGAAGTCTCATTCATGAAAAAATAGCTTGTATTTCTCCCATACATGGAGTTAAAGAGTTAAATTTAAAAACATGACTGGTAAATATAATTTGAAATTTGCAGCAGGAATCTATTATTCCATCATACAATTATTTTCTCTTCAATATTTAGGGATTTTTTTAGAGTATGCAATATGTAGAGATGACTAAATTATTTTTATTATTTATAGTAATTCACAAAGGTAAACCTGAAAAACAAGAGATTTGGGTGGAACGGAAAGAACAACCAAAAGGTAGGTGTCTGGTGTTTGGCATTTTTCTCTTGCCCTTGATTTAAATTAGCTTGATCTACTGACCTCCAGGGCATGCTGCAAAACCCAATTATTTTCATGGAAAAAAGGAGGAGGTTGGTAGGAAGGAGAGTGAAGATTTAAAAGGAACATTGGATCTATCAGCTCTTCTTATGGTTACGTGTGCAAGAACTAAGATTATTCTCAGGGGTTAATGATTTTTTTTTTACTTTATTTTTAATTTATGTAAAAGATGCCTAGAGTATCTTTTGCCTCGAGCAATTGATAGGTGCCTTTTTATTTTTGCTGTATAAATCCAAAGGCTAGATTGTGCCTCAGGGCACAATCTTGAATAAGAAGAAATGAGCAAATTGTAGCACTCAGGGAGCAGTCTCTAGAGACACTGTGCTTCAGAGACAAGAATTGAAAAATTCCCTCTCTGCTTCATCTTGCACTGGGGGAGGTAGTAATTTGACGTTGGCCTATGCTAACAGCAAAGTATGATACTCCCGTGGCTTGCTGATGTGCAAGGGTTAGGAGTAAAAGTTCTGTAACTCTACAGTCATTACTCAGTGGGAAATAAGGTAGTGCTGTGTGCCTAGATACAGTGTTTAGGTTGGAGCTTTTTATTTTATTTTATTTTATTTTATATTTTACCAATTGGGGGTGTGTGGAAAATATCTGAAATAAACTCATTTGCAGGACACAGTAATGTCAATGAAACTATTGTTGAAACATACTTCCTTGACTAGAATAAAAAATGTGGTTAAACCCAACCCAGAAAAGCACATACCCCACTGGTTCTGGTACTTACCTGGGACAATTTAAGTCCTTTTGATTCAGACCAAGGACTGAAACCTAGGTTGGAGACCCATCTCAGATGGGTCTCTAAGAGCCTTGCTACACAGTAATTTTGGGTGGTTTCTGGAGCTCTTAACCCCTGGATTGTCCACACATGAACACAGGAAACTTGTTCTAAGCACTTGTTAGATGGCTCAAAGTTATACCACTGCAGGGCAGGATTATGTCTGATCTATGTGACCCAGCTCATGCTACACTAAGATAATGACCTTAGTGTAAATACCTCTCACCCCAGCTGGCCCAGATAGGGCCCACTACACCCTGCTGCTCTCCCCAAAACCTCAGATCCCCGTTCACTGCTCCCTCCCCCAACCCTGCTTACTTCTGGCTGCCCATGCTTTCTGTCTCGGGGAGGAGGCAGGGAAGGGTTAACCTGTCTGCCTGGGTACCATTGCCACTACTACTGCTCTCTGGACCAGGCCTCAGCCTGGAAAAGAGCAGCAGCCCAGCAGCAGTGGCAGTAGGGGCTGGGCTGGTAGGTTAACCCCTCCCTGCCTACTCCCCCTAGACGGACACCACAGGTAAGAGGGAGTCCCAAAGTGCAGGT